ACAAAAGAGGAGTTTAAGACCTATTTATCATATTTAAAGAACAAATTATTCAAAATTCCTCAAAAATCCAAAGCACACTATACATCTATTAACAATTGTTAAACCTTCAAAAATTATCCTAAAATTCATGCATATTCTACCCTAATAATCAAATTAACCTGCCTAAGAAGACAACACGTTAAGGAGATGAAATTGCTTAAGTTGTTCAATTAGTAAGGCCATAGTAGAACAAAGGGGGCTTGAGAGGTTAAAAAGCAATTTTTGAAAGTTTTTCATGCACACTCCATGCAAGTAACGTGGGAAAACATTTTACAACAAAGCTTCAGCAACTGATGAAGTTCTCGGCAAGGTTCTGTTGCATATTTTCATGCACAAGGTTACGCAATTTCAGCAAAGCAGATTCATACAATAGCTTGAAATTATTCCAATTAAACATGGCTGAACATCCCTTAACAATGCCAATAATTGGAAGAATTTCATGCGAAGTTTCATGCAAATACTACGAAGAAACATTCTGCAAACTGGAGCTATTCTTCTACAACTTTTACGCCCGCAAGCTTCTGCAACTTTCAACTATTTGCAGCTTGCGATTTCAACAAGAAATACCCTCCCAACCTTTTACTATAATTGTCAAGAATATCAATTAAACCACCTAGCTTTTGTAAACAGAATCTCTAGGACAAAGATATGCAGGCAACCCATGAAGAAACGGAGACACAGATCGTCAACTGTAAACTAGCAAACCAGGAATGGAGACTCACATCATAGCCAAGGGAAGGAATGAAACAACAACATGCCATTTTAATAGGAAAAGCAACCCCAATCCTCTACCATACACTGAACCCAGCGTAAAAGAAAAGAAAACAGGTTATACACATACAGAACTAAAACTAATTAGACATAATCACAAGTGCCAGTTGGAGCAACTGAACTATACATCTTTACTGACTTATCATGACCTCTAACAAGCTTAGCATCGCCATAAAAGGTGAACAGAGACTCAAAGTTTGGACCTTTATCACCATTTTTGGAAACAGCAGAAACATTGAAGTCAGCATAAACAAATTCGAAATACAAGAGGAGGAAAGCGATGGTTTTTTTTTTTACAAAAAATCATGCAACTGAGCTATTATTCATGGATTTGCTGCACTTTCATTGGGTTTTCTCTAAGCATAATAGGTCAACAGAACAGGATAGATTCCTGTGTGAATCACCATAGCCTTATCATGAAACATCACTCGAAAATAGGCCCGTACAACATTGTTCACCTCACAACGAAATAAAACATTAATCAGTTCCTTCAATCCTAAGCAGGGCAAGAGAAATCTAGGTAATACCATCAGCAGAGAAACCTCGGACATCATGGAAACAAAGACAATACCCCCAAACGGCAAAGGGAAACCCAAACACACAACAAAAGAAAGCAGCTTTAGACTGTAAAAGACAAGTAACATGCGAGGAAATTGCTGTAAAAGGGGTAAACTCGCAGGCAAACAATCTTTCGCAACTCCTGGCTACATTCAAGGGTTTCATATGGGAAGAGGTTGAGGATTACCTGTTCTGCTGCTACAAGAACTAGATTTTTGATAGGAATCTGAAGTAGCTGACTGGAATCCACCACAATCCGAGGGAAATGAGCTGCGGATCCTCTTCTCCTTGTTTTTCAGCTTCGATCCTCCAGCCTTTCTTATGAAAATCTCCCTCTTCCCTGCTCCCCTTTTTTTGTTTCTCCCTTTTTTCTGTTTTCCCGTGACACCCTTTTCTCTCCTCCCAACCTTTTCCAGTCGTCCTGTTGCCTTTGTTTTTTTTTTTCAGAAACTATCGATAATTTTTCTTTTCTCGGCTCCACTCTCTCTCGGTTTCTCCCTTGGAGCTCTCCCTCTCGCTTAGTTTCCTCAGCCGCTGTTCACTCTATTCTCTCCACCCTCGCTCTTTTTCAGTCGTCATACATTCCTCTCGGCTCGGTTGTTCTCTCTACTGGTGGTTCTCTCCTTTCCTAAAAACCTCACCTTTCCTCTTAGCCGTCACATCTATTTTCAAACCCCAGCCGCCGTACCTCACTCTTCGCTCCCTCAACCCCCCAGCCGTCACTCCTCTCTATCACTCTCTGTCTTTCAGCCGTCATACTCTACCTCCTTAAACCCTCTCATATCTCTCCTTTATATAGGCATCCGAAATCCCCCCGTAACCTAAGACCAAGGGATGAGATTTGGAGCTGCATTTTGGCTCTTCCTATCAAGACCATCAGATGGCATTTGATTTTTGTACCTTTTGTGTTGTTGAATCAAAGCCAGGTGATCATGTACTGGCTTGATCCAACAGAGCAACAAAAATCAATGAAAAATGGGATGTCCTTCCATGCATGATTTCTGCTTGAAATGTGATATCGAGAAAGGGCCAGAATCCTATGCAACTTAAAGTGCATGAGCTTGCTCTTTTTTCTTTCTTTTTTTTAAAAATAAAAATAAAAAACATCATTTAATTAATAATAAACAAAATAACCAAAATGACAATTTAAGTAAAAATCAGATGCAATGAACAAAAACTAGGAAAAGAAGATAAAATGCTAAGATTTTTCTGTTTTTTTTTCTTTTTCCATTTTTTTCTTTTCTTCTTAATGAAATAAGCAAAAAATTAAAACAAAAATCAACTATATAAAAAAAACCAAAATTTTGGTGTCTACATCTTGCACAAAGTTTTTGGTCCTTTGATGTAAGGGTTGAAGGGGTTTTTATCGTTGATTGAGTAGTAGACACAAACGAAAGACTATATAATGTAGCGTAAATTATATGTAATTCTCTTGTAGTTTTATATATTGTTATATGAGAACCTATAAGATTTTAAAATAGCTATATAACCCCTTTATAGTTTTATATACTAGTTATATAACCCTTCTATAGTTTTATATACAGCAGAATGGATGAAAAACACAACCAATCACGATGATTGAACCAAACGCACTCTAAAAATTCATAAAATAAAATCATAATATCCATTTAATTCGTCTATGATTCATTGATATGCATGAATATCTTTTTTTTTTTTTTTTGTCGAAACAATAGGACAATTTCATTATCTGAAAAAGTTACATATGCGAGCAACGGCTTGAGAGAACTATACAAAAAGTGTTCAAAAACACTAAGGAAAAAGTCCTTCCTCATCCATAATAATGCCTAAGGCATCTGCACACAGTTTTCTTCTATCTAACATATTTTCTTCCCTTTCCAATCCAAAGGAGCACATGCAAAACAGTCTCTTCAGCTTCAAAATATCTTCCAACAGTGTAGCCATCTTGCTATTTATAGGTCGCTGCTGTGTTATTTGTTTCCATAGCTCTTTATTGCAAAAGTTGAGCCTTACATTTCTCCAATGCTGTTGCACAGCTTTACACAAAACCAGTTTTAATGCCAATGCTTCATCCAAAACTTGTTCCCCAGGCTTCTCTCTTTCGCACCCAATCTGCAATTTTAGTGCTTGCCATTTCCCGTACTGTGACTCCTATTCCAAGAGTGTTATGTCCTTGCTGCTTTGCTGTTGCCACTCCTATAATTATTGTCCCTTCATTTTCATTGCGCTACCTTTGTTGTTCATGCATAGGGACTGTTTCTTCTGTACTCTTTCTATCTTTCTGCTGATTCACTTCCACTTGTTCCACCCATTCTTTATGTGCCCGTTCTACTGTTCTCATTGGTGTGGACCTAACTGAGCTCTCGAATTCTTTTTTATTCCTATCTTTCCACACCTGCCACAAAATATTTGCTGTCAGACCGATATGTTCCTTCCCTTCTAGTCTAGTCCTTGCTTCTGAAATTCTAAGCCACCATCTCTTGAAGTCTCCTTGCTAGTCCTTAGCTCCATCCCACTGAATAGGAGCTGATTTCCATATGTCCATCATGTAAGGACAGTTTAGCAAAAGATGTTCTATGGTTTCCTGTGCCTCACCACATGTTGTACATATAGGATCACCTCTTCCTGTTTGTCTACTCACTGCCTCCCTTACTGGCAAGGCTCCTTTAAACACTTCCAAATGAAGAGCTTGATTTTTTGTTTAATGTTGAGCCTCCACAGTGTGTTCCATATCTGAGTCATTTGTTGACTTCCTTCTGCATTGCTTGATCCAGCTCCCTCAGAGTTACACCTCTTTACACTTCTGCCTTTCTCCATCAGAATTTTGTAGTCTGAGTTAACTGTATACTCCCCTCCAGCCTTTGGTTGCCAATAATAGCTGTCTTCCCTCCCTAAGAGGCTTAAAGGGATGCTGAGAATCCTCTCGGCATCATTTCTGTTAAAGTTGTTGAAGGTGATATTCCCGTTCCATCTCTTCTGACATATAAGCTCATCAACCATTTTCAGCTCACAGCTACTGGTTCTGCAAGTAGTTGATTTCCCCGTTAGTGTCTCTGGTAGCCATTTATGATCCCAGATTTTTGTACTTCTACCATTTTCAATTCTCCCGATGAAGGCTTCATCTAGTAAACTTCTTGGTCCCATTAATCCTTGCCAAATCCATGATGCATTCTTAGGGGGAGTGCATTGTAGGATGGATTCCTGAGGGAAATATTTAGCCTTCAACACCTTGCTGACAAGAAGGTTTGGCTTGGTTAGGATCCTCCATACCTGCTTCCCCAAAAGTGCTTTATTAAAGGCTTCCAAATCCTTGGAACTTAGACCACCTGTGTTTTTGTGTACTGCCATTCTTTCCCAAGAAATCTAGTGCATTTTGTTCCTTCCATTGGTTTCTCCCCATCAGAAATTGGCCATCAAAGCATTAATATCATTGCAAAGTTTTCTTGGCAGCTTAAAACATGACATAACGTACATAGGCATGGCCATTGCAACTGCCTTCAACATGACCTCTTTTCCAGCTAAGCTCAGGAATTTGTTTTTCCAATTCTGAAGTCTTCTTTTTATGTTTTCTCTTACAAATCCAAATATTTGATCCTTTGTTCTGGAATCACCATTGGAAGTCCCAAATATTTCCCTTGCTTTGCTTCCATCATTCATCCTAGAGCTTGGCATACCTCTCCTCTTTGCTCATAGTCCATGTTTTTACTAAAGAATAATGCAAAATTGTCAAGGTTGATCAACTGCCCTGAAGTTATTTCATAGACTTTTAGAACTTTCATGATTTCAACAGCCTCTTGCTTGTTAGCTTTACAAAAGATGAGGAAATCATCTGCGAAGAAGAGATGGGTGAGGAGTGGTCCTTGCCTACTAATTTTCAATCCTGTGATTCTCCTACTTTCTTCAGCTTTCCTTAGCAAATTGGAGAATCCCTCGGAATATATTAAGAATAGATAAGGAGACAATAGATCTCCCTGTCGTATTCCCCTTCCTGATGCCACAAAACCTTTAATTTCTCCATTGCAGTTGAAGGAATAGTTTACTGTTTTCAGGCAACTATTGATCCAGTTGATCCATATATAGCAGAAACCCATTTTTTCCATCATTGCCTGCAAAAAATGCCACTCCACCCTATCATAAGCTTTTGCCATATCAACTTAATTGCCATGTAATCATCTTTCCCTTGTCTTTTGTTTTTAACGTAATGCATGTACTCATGAGCAACAATCACATTATCTAAAATCTGTCTATCTGAAATAAAAGCTGATTGAGTCTTGCTTATACATTTGTCCAGGACAGACTTCAATTGATTTGCAAGAATTTTGGAGATGATTTTGTAAAGCACACTGCAAAGACTGATTGGCCTGTAATTTTTTAAATTGGTTGGGTGAAAGATTTTGGGAATGAGGGAGATAACCGTATGGTTTATGGATTTAAGCATGAAACTTGAATTGAAAAAAGCTTTGATTGCTGGGATAATGTCCCTCTTAATGGTACTCCAAAATCTCTGAAAAAACAGTGGAGTCATCCCATCTTGTCCTGGAGCTTTTTTAGGATTCATGGAAAATAAAGCATCATGAATTTCTTTTTCCTCCACTACTTTGGTCAATTTATCATTCATCTCCTGAGTTATGGAGTGTGGAATACCATCTAAGATTGCTAACATATCACTTCTTCCTCCACTTTTAAACAACTCCTTAAAGTAATATGAAATTTCAGTCACTACCTCATCCTCATTTTTTGTCCAAGAACAATTATCTCTCTACAAATTTCTGATTCTATTGCTCACTCTCCTACCCTTGACATAGGTGTGAAAATACTTGGTATTCTTATCCCCCTCCCTAAGCCAACTGATTCTAGCCTTTTGTCCTCAAAAGTGTTTTTCCTCCTTATAAGCCGAACTCAACTTATCTTTGATGTCATTCAGATTTCCTCTCCTATTGATAGAGTCTGAGTTCCTAGCTCTCTCTAGTTCTTTCTTTAGATCTATAATTCTACTCCTGGAGCTTGGAAAGAATTCCTCCACTTCAAGAGTTCAATTCTACAATTTTTAATCTTCTTTGTGATTTTGAACATTCTTGAACCTTGCTCCTCTTTATTCCAGGCTCTCTCAACCATTTGTTGCACTCCCTCCCTTTGAAGCCATCTCTTGTCAAAATAAAACCTCTGTTTTTTCCTTTTTGTTGTCGGGACTGTTTCTATCAAAAGTATGTGGTGATCAGAAGCAAATGTGTCCAAATGCTGACATCTTACCTTTTCAAAATCTTGGAACCATTAAACACTACATAGACATCTGTCTACTTTTTGTCTGATTTCTTCTTCATCATTCCAGTAGTTGCTCCACGTCCAAGGTTGTCCTTCAAACCCAATATCCACTAAGCTATTCTGCTAAATAAAGTCTTTGAAATCCCTGAAGTCCTCTCCCCTCTTACTATACCTCCCCATTTTTCCTCATTAGACAGAATGTCATTAAAGTCCCTAGCTATCAGGTACCTAGAACCCCATAACCTTTCCTATTACTCAACACCCTCCATTGCTCTCTCCTTATCATATGGTCACAACTAGCATATAATCCAATAAACCACCAGATAACTTGATTGTCAGTGTCTTCAATTTTAGCCTCTATCGTGAAAGCAGTAGTGTTCACTTCCAGAACTTGTGTTTCCTTAGTCCAAAACAAAGCCATGCCCCCTGCTCTATTCATAGCTTCAACCACTACATTATTGTCAAATCTGAGCCCTCTAGCTATGCTATCAAGAACTAGTTTCCTATTTTTAGTCTCACTTAAAAAAATCAAATTTGGAGAGGAGAGGTTATTTACCCCCCTCAGATGGGGAACTGTCAAGGGGCTCCCCACTCCTTGACAATTCCACACCATGACTCTCATTTTCCTTTAGGGGCCCCTTTAAGGAAGGACCCCACCTCCTCTCCCCTCACCTCAGTAGAATACAATTCCTCCACGGGCTTAGTTTTTTTCCATTGTACTACCTCATGGTTAGTTTCCTCCATCTCTTCATCCCTGATCAGAACCTTTTTCTTTCCAACATTCATCTGGCTATCTTCTTTGCCATTTAACTCTCTCAAAAGTTTTCTGGTTCTAGTTGGGGACTTCAACCTCCTAAACGTCCTCTTGGCTTGCTTATCTATAACCTCCACCACCCTCTTAGTACATTAGGAATCATGGTGGAGCACTAGAGCCCCTACTGACTTCTCATTGGCCCCAAGTTCTTGATTTTGATTTAGGTTCAATATCTCGACCTCTCTATCCTCATCCATTTCTTCTACAACAGTTGGGTTTTGAACTTCTTCCTCAACCTGAATCACTAGAGAGAGGTCAGGGCTCCTCTTATCCAGGTTCAACTGACCCTCCTGGCAACCGTGGGTATCCTCCTTGCTTCACATCACATTTGTTGATGCTCCTGTATCTTTTGCTAACATATCATCCACCATATCTTTTCTTAAAACCTGAGTGCTATCTCCTCCATCACCAATAGACTTAAGAGTTTCCAACAGACTCTTTGTCATTTTGGTCCTACTATTATCCTGTTCAACCATTTCTCCTTTCTGAAAGGACCAATATCTTTTGTTGCTTAACACATCAGGTCTATTTGGTTTCTTCTGAGGTGAGCTTCTATAATTTCCAACTCTCAACCAAGGGCCGTATTGGTTTTCTACATTGCATCCCCCTAGGACTCTCCTCTCTTTACAGGACCTCTCATTCTGTCGTACTATACAACAACTATAGCACAAATCAGGGCACCTTTCGTATTGAAATGCTACCCACTTAAGAGCTCCTGCAATCTTAACCACAGTACCTCTTAGAAGAGATTTAGACAAGTCTACCAATGCTAAGATTTTCAAATGCCTGCCCTCTTTCCCTCCAGATTGAGGTGCTAACACCTCTCTAACTTCTTTAAACACTGCTCCAATCTTTTTTCCAACTTCTTTAGAAAGCCAGTGAACTGGCAAATTCCATATTTGCACCCAAAGGAGTGCAAACATAAAGGCTCTATAGTCTTCTTCTATCCCTTCAGTCCACCTGTTCAACACTAAAACTTGATTATCTATCACCCAAGGTCCCCCATTAACAATTCTTTCCATCTCATCAGAAATCGGGATGTTGAACTGAAACAGATTAGGTCCCAGTTCCAGTACTGTCATATTCCTCGGATAACCCCATGCCATAGCCACAAAACTTTTAATCCCTGTAAAGTAAATCACTTTCTCTGCTATAACTCTTCCTATAAGACTACCTTCGCAAGCTCTCACTCCATTATGCAGGTCTTCCACCTCCAGGGTAGCTCCTGAGAGCTCATTCCCTTCCAGAGTAAATTTCCATAAGAGTCCCGATAGATCTCCCTCCATGGACAGGGTCAGCTATTTCTAGACGGAAATTCCACACCACACTTAAGAGACACAGGGTAAAAATAGGGTAGAGACAAACAAGGAAAAAACAAAAGGGCAAAAAGGCCACTAGAAACACTAAGTGATTCTGCTGACGAAAATCGAAAGTGAAGAAAGAAAATGTAAAAAGTTGCTTTGATCACGGTGACGGGATTTTAATATACGTACAAGTTAAAAAATTTGAAATACACCCGTTTCACTGCAAGTATACAGGTCAACTAGTAGTTTAGAGTATATATCGGGTTGATCCCACAAGAAAGATTGAACAATTACCAGTGTTACTAAAACTTCTCTATTATTTAGACTATCAATGAATTATAAGAAATGAAACCTACTGAACTTACGCAAAATAACAAATGAAAACTCCTTAGGTTATGATATCCCTAACTACTCATACAAGTGCTATATTTGGATCATCGAGTACTACTATCTTGGTTAGTTATGGTGTAATTTCCTTATGCATATGAAACCTACTTTCGTAGTGAATCAACTATACTTATAACTAATCTATACCTATTCTCAAGGTTATAAAATTAGTTACAAGTTCATTTCTTCAATGAAATTACATGAAATTAATCACTAAAATCACATAGGTGCACCTCTACTCTCGTAAGTGTACTCCCTATGTTTAGCACTTCTTGAACCAGTGTTAAATCTCAATTTTCATTGCAGAAACAACACCTTAGATAATCACAATTAATGGTACTAAATTAATCATGATTTCAAAGAGCTAAAGTGCTAAATAACTTGCTCAAAATAATGGCATCAAATAACTAAATAATAAACACTAGCAATCATAGAAAGTTCAACCAAAGCCAAGGCATAAACTTTAAAGACACATAATAAACATGAAATCCAAAACTTGCATATTAACCATATTTAAGAATCCAATACAAAAGATAAAAAGTTGGAGAAGAGATAACCCATGTCACTTAAGTTTCAACTCCTTCTTCTTCATCTCCATCTTCATCCTAATCTAACCAATATACAAGAATGGATGAATTAACTAGCTAAACTATCCTACACTAAGAAAATGAAAGAACTACATATCTGCACTCTCCAAGCTTCTCCGTATGATAATAGACTTCTCAAATGTCTCTGTATATAAACTGATATCAGCTCCATTCCACCGGTCAAAGTTCCACTCTAATGATTCTCAAATCTCAATTTGTTAAGAAAGTCAAAAACCATGGTTAAAAACCACGATTTTTTACTTGGAACTTTGGCTATATCTCTTCTTTTTTGTCTTCTAAAGCATGTGCAGACGAATTTCCTTACCAAAAATAGCTGGAAAGTGGTGTGAATATAAGAGAAATGGCTGAGCAAATTGTAAAATTTCAACTACAAAACGCGACTTCAGAAAACGCGGCTTGGAGTCACGTTTTGTCAACTCGCATTTTCAACTCTGTGTTTTTGGCTTCGCTTCTGCTGCGATTTTATCCATGATGGAGGCCAAACTAGCTTTTGTGCAAAACACAAAAGTTGTAGCCCTTTGAATTAGCTTTTACAATTCTTCAAAAATTATCCAAATCGGAGCTTTATAGACTGAGATATGATTGAAATACTATCACCTGGTCAAACCCCTGTTTCATTCTCGTCCATAGAATACAACTTCTGTATTTCGAATTTTTGTCCATGAAAACAACAGAATTGGGTTTCGATGTCTTCATACCAAATCTAGATCTTTTTCTTAACTTAAAAATGGTATAAAGATCACCTCAATCCGATATGTGTAACTCTAGATATA